CCCCACCCCCACCCCACCCCAGCCCCAAACCAAAGTGCTGACAGGGCCCCTGCCCGTGCTGCCGTCATTCCTCGTCTGCCTCCTGCCCACCCGCAGGCCCCCGCCTCCTGGATAGTCTAGTGTCGTTGCTGCTTCCGCCTGTGCTGTGGGTGGGGAGCTGCGGCTCAGGCCTCCCTCCCCCTCCGATCCCTCCAGGGTCCCCCACCTGTCCTCACCAACCGGAGGCCCTGGCTTTCCCAAGGGAGTGGGGAGCTCAGGCCCCGCTGGGCCTTTTTAGTTCTGTCTCCCCCTCCAGGGTCGGGGGTGGGGTGGGGTGCACGATGCAGGGCCTTGTAGGGGCCGGTCATCCTCCAGCTTTCACTCCTCCCTGGTCAGTTCATCCATCGCTGTCTGTAGCCGTCTAACCATGATGCCTTAACATGTGGAACGTGTGCTGTGGGGCCGTCACTAACCTCTAACCCTGTGTCTGCATGAGCATGTGGTCTCCTTCGTCCCCGCCGCCCCATCCGCAGTCCTGTGGCCGGAGAGGTGTGGGACATGCTGCTGCTCCTGGCCTGCCAGGGCCTGGCCAGCCTCCCCTCCCCTCCCCCAGCCAGGGCTATGGGGACAGCTCCCAGGGCTTGGGGAAAGCCAAATTGCCAAAACTCAAGTCCCCTCCTGTCCCATCTGAGAGGCTGGTGTCCTTACACCTCTGTCTTCTCTGACCCAGTGGGCAGCACCCAGACCTGGAGCCCATGGCCCCAATAGAGAGCCCTTGGACAAAGCCAGTGGCCGAGCCTTACTTGTCCCACCTGGGCCTGCCAGCCTGGGGTGACATGCCTGGCCTGTCAGTATTTATTGTCTCCATATGTGCCGTCCACTGGGCCCGCAGGCCTGCCACCTCTGCCCCCAGGCTCCATGCCACCATCCCCCAGCAGGCCCTCCCCGGACTCAGCCAGGACAACTGTGGGACCAAGTGTGCACAGTCGGAGCTGTCCCTGTGCCTCCTCTCCCTCTTCTCCTAGGTCAGGCCCCGGCTGGAATGCACAGGAACCTGTCCCTGCTTCTCCTCTTCTGACTGGGAAATAAACTCCCCCCTAAGAAACCAGAGTGTCTGCTGCTTGTCTCTGGTTGGGAAAGGAGGGTGGGGCTCATTCCTCTGTGGTCTCCAAGGGCCAGGTGTGGTTGCTATTTCCCTGCCCTTATTGAAGGATTTTAAGCCCTGCCTTGCCCTCTTGGCCAGGGGTGCCCTGTGGGTTGTTCAGACCTGGAAACTCCCAAAAGGACTGAGGATCTTGGGGGTGGAGAGGCACAGCCAGGCCCTGGCCAGGTTGAGGTCCAGCTGTGTCCCTAAACCCTTGATGCCCACTCGTGGCCACCATCTGGCCTGAGGAAGTACCCCAATCCCAAAGAAGGGGAAGGAACCTCGCTGGAGACGGAGCTCCACGAGAGGCGATACATGGGAACCAAAGGGGTGACCAGGTCCCAGGAATGACTCCAAGTTGTGGGCTTGGGTGTGGGTGGACCTGAGGTTGGGGTTCAAGGGTAGAGGAGAAGGCAGGGCCAGGGGTCCAAAGGTGGATTAGGGAGGTGGGTGGGAAGGTGGAGACGGTGACCCTGGCTGCACAGAGGCGTGAAAGGCCAAGGGATCCCTCAAGGGCTGCCAGAGGCTAGGCCAACAGCTCTGAGCAGCAGGGTCTTTGCAGGACCTCAGGTGGCAGGGAGGGTGCTGTCTCCTCTGGGCACCACCCCCAAGGGCACCCGTAACTATGATGCCCCCTCCCCAGCCCTGGGATGGAAAAGGGCAGATGGGTAACCCAAGCTCCAAACAGGGTCAGTTCCAGAAACCCCTTTTGCTGGACTGATTTGGGTTTTGAAATCTCTGAGGTCTCAGGCCGTTAAAAAAAGTGGTTATGTGTCACATAGAC